TCTCTTAGGACGGGGTGATGGTCCTCAGTGCAACGCACCGATACAAGAAGAAGTATGTGACCACTCTTCTTTACAAGCCCATATAACCCACAGAGCCGTGATCCAGACTCTTATTTTGAAATGCTCATAATTAAGCTGTTGTTGTTCACAGCTGCTGTTTTGATTGTTGTATTTTTTTTAAATACCTTCCTGATATCGATTTAAAGCATTTGCTTAATCTACTTTTACCNACAACAATCAAAACAGCAGCTGTGAACAACAACAGCTTAATTATGAGCATTTCAAAATAAGAGTCTGGATCACGGCTCTGTGGGTTATATGGGCTTGTATCGGTGCGTTGCACTGATGACCATCACCCCGTCCTAAGAGACAAGGACAACAAGGGTTTTTGAATGAGGCTTAAACAAANCAAAATGCACTTTTCTACGTCTTTCATACATGAATATGTGTCCCCGGTGTTCCAGGGAACTCACCAAGTGTCAGAAAACACAACCCTCTCTATTTTCCTCCATACCCAAATCTCTTAAAAAGGGGCTGCAACGGATCTGATACAGACTGATACAGATTTGAACACTTCTATGACGTCACAGAAGTGGTGCTACGGCTAGAGGAAAATAGAGAGGGTTGTGTTTTCTGACACTTGGTGAGTTCCCTGGAACACCGGGGACACATATTCATGTATGAAAGACGTAGAAAAGTGCATTTTGCATGATAGGTCCCCTTTAAGATTTGAAACATATTGTATGTTTAGAGTGCATTATAAATGGATCATAGAATTTCTTCATGTGACCGAGAAACCCTCTCACCCCTACCTTTCCTATGTCAAAATGATTGTTGTTGTGTAAGTAATGTAATACTAACAACAAGTACAACAATTGACAACATTATCATACTTTGTTATAGCCTGCAGTATATAGGGTACATGTTGATCTTTTCCACATTAGACACAAAGTTGCATCATATTGAGAAAATGTATAAATCAACACTACTACTACTACTACCTTAGTAGATGCATCTCTGTCTCACCTCCCTTCTGCAAAGAACTAGTGGAATTTAAACTGCAGCTTGACCTCAAAGACAGTCTGTTCCATAACAACTATTTACTCAGAGATATTAGCAAGCCATCTGTGGTTGGAAGCTTGTCACAGGCATTACAGTGGTGGGGTAGTATTACTGATCTTCCTCGTGAAAGGCAGGTCGTAGGTTGCCAACAGTTTTCTTTTCCACCTTGTGAAGGGAACATGGTTGGTAGAACTTGTTTGCTACAGAAATAGCAAAGATGAAATGGTACAAAAAAAACAGTGGCACTAAGTCAGGCCACATGAGTTGGTCAGAGAAGCCAGAGAGGGGATCAGCAGAATTTGGCAGTGGACCTGAAGCTGTGTTTCTGCCTGGTGCACGTTTGACAAGTGACAAGAAAGTTATGTCAGTGGTTGTTCTGTTCCTGTCTTACACTATAATCCTAAACATCCAGAAATCCTGAACATGTTTTCACTGACTTTTCCATGACATCATCACGTTTCCCTGATGCCTTTTAGCCATCTCACCCTTTCCTTCTCCCTCACTCACACCCATTATTATCCTATTAAATGTTTATCTTTCCAAATTCTTCACTTCTCCTCCGCTTGTTGAATAATTCGGTAGCAGCATGCATTACCCAGATGCCCATGTGACTTTTATTCAAGAAGAAAAAAAGCAGCAAAACGGATGTTTCCTGAGAGGTGGTGCATGGCTGCTGAGGAATGTGTGAATTCCTCATTGGATATGGGGCAAGTAGAAAGGCCAGCAGAGGACACAGGGGTAAAACAGGGGTAAAACAGGGGAGTACAGAACATAAGACGAGGGATAAAAGAATAAATAAGGAAATACATTTGCATAAAATGGGTTGGAAAATGCCACAAGACCCTTAGAGACAGGAGAAAACAATTAGGTCTAAGGGGTATTGCCCAAAGGGTTAGGCGTTAAAGAAAACCTGTGAAAATAAAGGGCTGTCAAAGGGTTGTAAGGCATCTTTGCTTTTGGTCAGGGCAGGAGGTTAGATTAACCAAAGGGTGGGTCCTTTCTGAAGATTCAGTTGGAGCAAATAGAGGATTAAGGGGGGTTAACGAGGAACCCTGAACTGACAACAACAACAGTCGCAAGGAGATTACAATGAGCTGCAGCAGACACATTGGAACTGTGTACAAATCCTGAATGCAGCAATCACCACATTGTCAGAAAACCATATTATTAATAATTTAAGGAATCACTTAAATTCAAATGATAATGAGTCTTCACCTAGAACAGTGGAACCTTCAGAGCCATTGCTGGAGGACTGGTACTCGGGGACATCAAAGGAGCTGAGGGGGTCGTTGTCCATGGACTGGGAGATGTCCTGGAGCTCCTCCATGCCGCCCAGGAAGTCGTCATCGGCGCAGAGAGGGCTGCCCGGCACCGAGTCCTCCAGGGGGGAAGGGGGATGGTAGTGGCTCTCCATGTCGACCATCGCGGTGGAGGAGCAGGCTGCCGGCACTCTCACTCATCAGACTGGGGACAAGGGGAGGGTGGAGGGTGGAGGGGGAAGACAAAGAGGTCAATGAGTTGATATGAAAGACTGGGTGTCTGCATACTACCATGCTAACAATGAGAATATCAACATCATATTGTTTACCATCATAGTTTTTGCATATTAGCATGCTCATTTGGTAACTAGTGATAAACAAAATGCATGTGCAATGTGACATGCAGGTAGTCTAGACTTAAGTAAAGGCAAAGTTTGAATTATCGGACAAATAAAAACCAAAAGGGATGACAGTTCATCTTGAGGGAGACATGAACTTCCATACAATATGTTAAGGCAATAGACATTTCAGTCAAAACCACAAACAAAAATGAGATGCTATAGAACAGTGGTTCCCAACCTGGGGGGCAAAGATCGCAGGGGGGGCGCCAGGCCTCAGATGATTTGAGGCCAAATATCATATTTAGACTTTTTTTTTTTGTACATATAATTGTAACTCAATACATGATTGTCACTAAAAGCCTTGTCTCTTCATTACAATACAATATAACAAATAATGTATTAATTCATTTGAATAAAAATTCAAGTTAGTAGCTATTAAAGGCATAAAAAGACAGAAATGTATAATTCTTTCTTTAATAGAAATGTTTTTTCTGCCCGTAAAGTGTCCAAACCGGGCTTTTCTGGATAAGCGCATTTTTAAAACATAGTCATTGTCCATGCCGGTTTCAGTTGGATTATTTGTGACAGTTGCTCCGATCAGATCGGTCTCCTCCATTTTGTAGATTATTTACGATTTTTGAATCCACATAAACACATCGGCAAAATCCGGTTTACTTTGAGCATGTGTTTTAAATAGTTTAATCCCTTTGTGAATTGTTTCCACTTGCGCCGTCCTTTAATTTCTTCATACAGCGGGAATCCAAATGAATGAATCCTGAGTCCAATAACCATCAAAGTCACTCCAATAGTGCTCCTTAATTACACTTTCATCCTCCTTTAACAAAACACTTCACATTCATCCAGTTTGTGGGAGTAGTTGTAGCATTTTTGAGACTTTTAAACTTTAATTACCGCTGTTGCGCCCCCCCCCTTGTGTGTGTGTGTGTGTGTGTGTGTGTGTGTGTGTGTGTGTGTGTGTGTCGTGGGGGAGCAACTTCAACAGAGTCATCTTGGGGGTGCTCTTGGGAAAAAAGGTTGGTAACCACTATTTGAGAGTACAATCGTGTGAGGCTTTACGTGTGCTTTAAAACAGTGGTGGCTGTATAAATGGCGTCAACAAGACTATGTACGTCTTCCACAACATTAGCCACTNTGAATGTGTGTTTGGTGGCGTGATCATTATTATTTAGAGTCATTGCGTGCCTATTGATTTGAACATGATCCGTGTATCCATCATTTCCTGGTCTTCTCTAAAGAAGAGGGACCAATGAAAACGTTGTCATGTTGCCGTTGTTCACCATGGAAACATTCATTAGCTAACAATGACATTATTGTTCTATTAATATAAAGGGAGGTCAGGTACTCTTTAAAACAGCTGCTAGTTATGGGTACTTTTTACTGAAGTACATTTCAAAGCCTCTTTACTTTGACTTGATTAAAGAAGTTTAGTCAGTACTTCTACTTTCACCAGAGTATTTTTAAACACAAGTATCTGTACCTCTACTTCAGTAAAGGATGTGTGTACTTTTTCTCTCTCTGGTGAAAAGTAACCACCAACAAGCCCACTGCTGCAGAATCTCCTTCAGAGACGTGGCCACAACACTTCATGTTGCCTACAGAAAATAAAAACACGACTGCTGTAGAGCAGAGGTTCCACAAGGTCTTCTGCAAAAGTGAAATTGAAACACTTTAAAAACAAGAGCATTTTAAAGCTTTTCTCACACCTGTCAGTTGTGGCAAATGATGTAATTATACATTTCTGAATATTGCATTTCTTCAACACATTACATTAGATGTTACTGGGCTTTAAACAACTTAAATATGTCTTGAAAACACTGAAGACTTGCCATCCTTGATAACCCTTAATTTCAAATATATAGTCCAATATTCAAGCACTTAAACACTCACTTAAATAACCACTTTGAAATCTACTTTTGAGGACATCCAGCATCGATATGAACACTGATTGTTTTGATTGTTTACATACATTTCCAAAAATACAAAAAGGCACAAATATAAGTCGAGTAAACACGTTTTTTTTAAGAATCTCATTTTTAATAAATCATCAAAACACATATCTACAAAATGTGTAGATCAATAAGACTTATGAACCTTCAGTACAACCATTGTAGATCTTATTTACAACTGCTGAATTATTACATTTGTTCCCNGTGTGCCTTGGCAGTCTCAGAACTACAACAAAATGAACATATTTGACCGTGATTTAATTGTAATACACGTTTCAAAGTGATGCCGAAGTAACAACATACTGATACTGGTTAGTAAAAACCACGAATTAATGCTTTGCTTTTGAAATGCCTCTCCTGCAGAACCTCACCGGTATGAGAGAGTGTAACCGATCCGGCTCTCACTGACTCTGATGAGGAAGTAGCCTTGACGCCTGGACATCAGCAGTTCCTCTGACATACTGCAAGAATAATAACAAGCATGAATTACAACAACATAAAAACCCTTTCATACATGCTCCTTAATCTGTAAATCATTAAGCCATTTTATTGGGTGGCTAACACATGTGGACTGCAGAGGGATTGTGTCAATTCAAGGGAATATTTCACCCACAAAATGGCTATTTTTTATATAAATTACTCACCCCATGTTACTTGGAATATCACCTTTCCTTTTTCTAAAAACTGAGACAATTATTGATCATTTTAAGCCACAAAACCACTTTCAAACTCACACATTCTCACACTACATTTATCCAGTTGCATACTCACTACTTCGTGTATTTTAAACAGAGAGAAACATTTCTATGTTCAGGGATGAGTGAGCATGCAACTGGATAACTGACACTGTATGATACAAGTTTTTATAGTATTGTTTTGATGTATAAAAAAGTATAAATATATTCTTAAACCTGTCCTCCATTTTCTTAAATTAAGACTTTCTGCTGTTTTGCAAGAAATATCCTTCAAGATTTAAAAAATAATGTGAGGGGATTAATCAATATGCATATGGTCATTTTGTGGGTTAATTATTAAGGGAACGGTTTACTTTTCAAAGCATGACAACATGTTCTCACAATGCCTGGACAAACAGTGTAATAAATACAGGCCGTTATACTCTTGTCAGCAAAGTAAACAGATGGAGTACACCATGTCTAATATCAACTCACATATGTCATCCACTATTCAGAGCTGTCAATGTGTAAACTGGGTGTGGAGGAAGCAAAAAGGCACTGGAAGTACGAGTGGCAATAGAAAAGTAGAAATATTCCACGGGTAAAGTCGACGATTCAAGACTTTACTGACACAACTGTGACTTACCAATTAAACATTTGTTCCATGAACATGGAGATTAAATATGCAGTCGTATAGTTTTGCATGTTCTTCCATTCCTAAAAAGATGTTGGGGATATCTCTGTTGTCACCATTTTTTTTGTGGTTTTGATGTTTTACCACGACGACGGCTCACATTTTACACCAGGTGGTGGTTGAGAGTAATTTTGACCTTTTATTTGAACATGGTTGCCCAGAACTTCCTCAAAAGTTTTAATAACTTCCTGAAAATATTCAACATTTCAGGGATTCAAGAGCTTCCTCTGTTTTGACATGTTTGGGCTTTTGAACCCACTTCTTAATGCTGGTTTATGTTATTTTAACCCTCAGCTCTAGGATAAAGGTACATTACGTTTTAATCCTACACTTTTACTTTTACTCTTCTTAACCTGACGGATGTATTAACTACCCCTCTTAATCACATGAAATGTTGACATTGCTCTTCCCATCCCTCGCTGAAGATGTCTGACAGTGATGCCCTTTGAGAACTCACTTCCTGGAAATGATCCCATGAAACCACTCGGGGACGACGCCGTTTCTGATCACAGTCCCGACCTGCGACTCCTTGAACCAGACCAAAGACTCGTGCTGACTCTCCATCATCCTGCAAACAGCTCATTTAATCCTCTGTTGGAATAGGACAAATACCTGTAAATGATTAATTTACAGCTCCTTGGGCCCACATTAGATACTTGTTCAAGGAGCACACAAAGTTTATAGAGAACACAAAGTGCAAAGTGCAGCCAGATTTCTGCCTGTAGTAATTAAGCAGCAGATTTTGACAAAAAATTCATATTTTTCCACTTTCCATAGTCATTGTTCCTCTTTTGATTACACACTGAATACCATTTATGTGGTGGTGCAATGTGAATATTGTTTCTAGTTATGCACAAAGTATAATCAAATGTTAGTGTTTAAAACTGATCTTTGGCAAGGCATGTTTTTAATATAGCACTTTTCAACACCATAGCAAACAGCTTAATTCCATTAACAAGCATTAGGACACACTGCAGATTAAAAACATTTGCACTAGACAGGAACATGTACTACTATTACTTTTTGCATCAGTGTTACTAGTAATAATAAAGTTAGCACAGTAGAGATTCTACAAAGTGCTCTGACATGCAAAGCAAGCAGGCAAATAATGTCCTGTCATTTCTCAAGAACAACTTTGACCTGACTATTAAAACAAACATATGAAAGGCGTAGTTTGAACACTCCTCACTGGATTTTAAAAAGAAACTCTAAAATGACTGAATAGAGGATTGTGAACACCAAGCGTAACTCACCTTGTCCTGAAGCTCGGCGATGAAATGACACAGCAGATCTGACTGGGCTGATACACCTGTCTGTGGGCGGAGACAAACACACGCACGCACGCACGCACGCGCACGCGCACACACACACACACACACACACACACACACAGAGTACGACGTAATGCAACTAAAAAACATGTCGTCTAAAGTCTTGCACGCACACACACACACACACACAC